GTTTTAGGTAAAAGACGAATGACAAAAAAATCTGGTAGAAAAAATCAACATAAAATTGATCTATCAAATCTTGTATCTGTTGTTCCGTCCGCTGATCAAATATTATCACCAGAATCTCTCTTACCGTCTGTACAGTCTCCATTATCATTTACCTATGAAAATCCAACTAATTCAAATCTACCAATGACAAAGTAATTATATAGATATATTTGTTTTTTATAAGTTCAAATCTTTCATTCTTATTTTATTTAGACGTATTGGTCGAATACGAATTCAACGGTGTATTGATGGACAAACTGGAACAAACTCAACTATACGTTTAATAACATCCGGTGAAACTAATACTCGTTTATCTTTACCAACACAACCAACTATACAAGCATCATCAATATTAACTACTTTAATAACCGCACGTCGTTCCAATTCGCTCAATAATAGCACAAGCAATCCGTCTAATTGTTAACGCAAAAATAAAAAATAAAAAAAAAAGAATATTTTTTCGTTTTTTTTTCTTACTGTTGTTCGTTAATAGTTGTTGTATGTGCGTAATATATGTTATTTTTTTTTACTTCTCATTGCATTATCAAACCAGCAAAAAAAAAAGAAATAAACAACAGTTTCTGTTCGACAGATTCTGTCTAACTACAACATTTTATTCTATGATGTGAATTTTTTTTCTTCTTTCTATCACCGTGCACGTAAACTTTGTGTTAGTCATCATTTTTCTTTTTTTTTTGTTCGTTACGTATCATATTTCTGTTTCGGTTGTTTTTTGTTTTGTTTCCTTCTTACTGTAACTTTCTTTTATCACACATATATATATATAATATCTGCGGTAAATTGTGTTATACCTTTACAACACATATATGTTGAGGATGTAAACGCGTTTTTAGATTCCACAATATTTCGATTAAAAATTTATCAACACACATATATCAGTTTAGTTTGGAGTTGTTTTTTGTTTTGTCATTATTTTAGATGGCAGCAACGACGGCATCAGCAGCAGCAGCTACTACTACTACTACTACTACAGGAAAGAGTAGTGTAACATTATCTCTTCATCCTTTAGTTATTATGAATGTAGCTGAACATCATACACGTGTTCGTGTTCAAACAGCCCATGCAACACCTGTTTATGGTGCATTATTAGGTAAAATAAAAGGTCGTCATGTTGAATTATGTAATACATTCGAATTTAAACTCACTAATGCTTCAACAACAACCACAACGAATTCTACTGTTACAATTGATATGGATTTTTTAACAAAAAAACTTGAATTAATTAGACAAGTTCATCCTGATCTTGATTTTACTGGTTGGTATACAGTTGAAAGTAAAGATTGGAATTCACCTGTAATGAGTTCATTTTATTCACAACTTTCTTCACTTAATGAAAGTCCACTTCTTCTTCGTCTTGATCCAGTTGGTGTATCAAATGAATTACCCATCCATGTTTATGAAACAATTGTTGATTTAGGAACTAAAATTGATTTTATTGAAATATCTTATACACTTATAACAGAAGAAGCTGAACGTATTGGTATTGATCATGTTGCACGATATTCTGTTACTGATGGTACATCAGATACATCAATTGTATCCGATCAAATTGCTATACAATATAATGCTATTCGTTTACTTTATCAACGTATGCTTGTTTTACTTGAATATGTACGAGCAGTTAAACAAGGTCAATTAGAAAGAAATGATGATCTTTTACGTGAAATTGGTTCTTTATGTCAACGTTTACCAATTATTAATACAGATGATAATAATAATCAAATGTTTCGTGAAGATTTTGATATTCAACAATCGGATGTTGCACTATTAGCTTTATTAGCATGTTGTACACAAGAAATCAGTACATTGAATGACTATTTAAGTAAGTTTTCTTCATCTATTGAAATAGTTTATTTTTGTATATTTATGCATCTAAAGATTAATCTTATTTTAATAGTTCGTTGAAGAAAATAGTATGATAGAAGCTTACAACTTGTCAGACTAAGAAAAAATGAAATGGAGCTTTAAAAGTAGAAAATAGTTTTGTTTTTGATCCTATTTAAAAGATAGGTAATTAATAAAATAAATATTAGTTTTATTTCTATCTGATATATTTTAAGTAAAACAAAATATCATAAACATTTTTCTATAATTAGAAATATATATCAAACAAATTTACAATCTTCTATTTTTAAAAACTGGATCATCTTTCATCTAAATTTTTAACATTCTTATCTTAAGCTTATACAATCATTTGAATTATGAATTAAATAAAAATTGATTCTTTTTTTTCTTTTTTTAGACAAATTCCAAGTTATACATGATAAACAACAACATTCATCTGGACCCGGTGGTAGTTTCGGATATAGTAGTGGTGGTCGCCGAATGGCTCGTGGTGGTGCTTATTTTCCTGCTTCGTTTGTCTGATGACATGAACACATATATCATATTTTTTTATTATAATAAAGAAATTTTTTTTTTGTTGCGGTGAAACTGTCTAAATGAGATGGTGAACTTATTGAAGAAAAACACTTTCATAGAAGTCAAATATTCATTTGCATATAGATAATACTAGAAAGAATGAGAAGACGATTGCATTTGTCTTGCAACCATCTCGATGAGGGTTGGCTTCAAGTTTTCTTCAATTAAATCAGTAGACGTGCAAGCTAAACAATAAAGAATTAACATTTCTTTTTTTTTCTTCTTGTGATGAGGAAGAGAAGCAAGGGAGAAGAAGAATATTAGATTGTCCTTTGTTAGTTTAATAGTGATAGAAAGAAAGAAACAAAAAAAAAAAAGAAAGAGTTGCACAGGAAAATATTTATCATCATTCAGTGTGTTGATGTCAATGTTTCCTGCAGTTGGTTCGAAGTAATGATGAGAGTTGTAAGTAGCAATACTGATGAATGGAAAGCTACGGTTTTATTGTTGTTACTATTGTCCTTTCTTCTGTTCTAATATTTATTCACATATATTTCCTATATGTGTAAATTTTTTAGAAAAACGTGTTTCTTTCTCTTTCGTGCAGTTCAATTAGTTGTTTCTACTCTTGCACAGATACAGTTATTGATTGACTTTTTTTTCCATATAAGTGTAGGACAATGAACTCTATACATTTTGATTAGTATATGACGGGAAGAAGATGTCTCTCACTTCTTCCTTTCATTTTTTTCTTTCTTATGTTCACTACATCAAAAATGACTACAACTCCTACTTTCAGTTACATTCGTCTATCTATACATCCATTCATTCATGCATCCATCCAGCCATCTATCTATTTATCTTGTATGCTTCAACGTTTTTCTTTGTTCTATGACGTCGAGCGAAAAAATTCTTAACATTGGAGAAGAACCGAAGAGAGGAAGAGGCTATGAAGAAACGAGGGACCGATTCGAAGTAAGTCGGCAACAGTGGCACGCGCGTTTTCTGCGCTCTCATCATTGTCATAGATAGAAAATATAATCTATCGACGCACACACATACACATACATATATATATATATATATAAGCATTTCGCATCATTGTATAGCTCCTTCATCGTTTCTCTTCTCCCATCACTCACATACAAGGCAATGTGAAAGACATGGAACAGACAAAAAACATTGCGGTTCTAATATCGACGACCAACGATAAGAACAACGACGAAGAGGACAAGAGAACGAGAGAAAAACGGAAGAAAAGTGCCAAAAAAAAAGAGGCAAACATGAGAAAGAAAGACGAATGAATAGAGAAGCAAATGCTTTTTTGTGGTACATACGTGTGTGCGAATGTCCACACCACATCATTCGTTTGCGCTTTCTCTTATTTTTTACTTGACAAGCGTTCTCATTTGCCTCCGTTTCTTCCCTTTACTACTATACCATCTGGTGCAATACAAAGCATAAGAACATATATACACAAAAGCATTAAAAAAATGAGGAAGAGAGAGTTTGTATGTGTATATGAGCGAGGAGAAGAACGACTGGCCAGCAGTAACAACTCATTGTAGTATTACATCCATTCAAATTACTCCTTGTTCGTATGTTCTTGTAGTATCATATTGTTGAAAGATTCTAATATTAAATGATAGAAGTATAATTTATCTAAAATCTATACAATCTACTTTCAAATATATATATGTATATATCTATATATTCATATTAACAGAATAGGAAAAGGTAAGGAATGTTAACTAAGGATTAACGAGAGTTATATTCTATTGTTGCAATAGCAAAAGTAAAAGCAATACACGAACAACAGAAATGATCAGAAACAAATGAGAGTTCATGCTCATGGGACTAGACGCAACGGCACTAGTAGAGTAGAACCAGCTACATTTATTATTCTTTACCATCATCATTCGCCGTCGTGTCTCGTACAAGCATCGAGCACACGTTGTGCTGTCGACATCGTCGTTTCTTTTTTATTAGATAAGTGACATGCGAATATAGTAGTGAGCACTAGTAATACCAAATTCTAGTGACACTGCATATTCAACGAGGTAGGATAGATTAGATCACTCAACTCTTTCTTTTTACATCACTAGATGTTTATCTTTGTATTTTCCAAAGAAAGAATGCTCCAGAAAAAAAGAAGAAGATGACAGAAAGAAGATCTCTATTTTTCCTTTTATATACATACCATTTTGTATAGAAAATACTATTAAGAAAAAGACAATTAGTAATAAGAATAGTGGGACCATACCGAGTCGAAAGTGCTTTTACTTGTGGAGTACGTGCGCACTACATAGATTGTTGATTACTTGAGACCTCCCCATGTGTAAGATCAAAAAATCGGCTTATAAGCAGGAAATGCCTGCTGTCTAATTCGATCACCGGCACAAATCAGCAAACGAACGCAGCTGATGACATAGACACACACACATACACACTTCTCGTGTTTAGTTGCGACCCCGAGCTGCAATTAGAACTCGTTCTTTCCTTCTTATATATATATATATGTGTATATATACATACTCCCTTTCGACAAGCTTGAACTCTTCTTATGTATAGTTGAGCAGTATAGTGAGAAGAATTCTTCTTTGTCCTTTATCCAACACGCGCGAGAGTTAGGAGAAGAGTCGGTCGAGTCGAATGATAATACTCAATGTGCAAGTGTATGCATATACACATATATATATATACACACCACTCGTCGACTATTGCTATTCGCTTCTCTAGCCATTGAGATATATGTACATATTCGTTCATTCATTCATTCATTCATCACGCGATTTTCTTTCTTTTCTTGCTTTTTTTTCTCATGTATGCTTACTGAATGTACAACTCGTCGACAGATGAGTAGTAAAGTTGCCTGTCTAACTAGAAATGTCATATAAGGTCAGATGTTTTGCTTCTTTTTACACAATTATCATTTCGACAAGCAATTAAATCGAATATGTAATGAAAACCTGTTAACGACTTTTGATGGATGTGTCTATCCTGTTTCATTTTCTTCAAATAATTATCAAAGAAAAAAAAAAGCAGAAACAAAAAAATGTAACAAAGACAAAAATGAGATAAAGATACATATCTTTTTTTTTCATACTTAACTTCGTCATCAGCATATCCTTGTCTTGTCTTTTCTGTGCTTTTTTTTTTCTCTTTTGCCTTTTGGTTTTTTATTTCATTCGAAGGTAACCTTATTATTCATCATGGTCGTCATCATCTTTGATGTTTCTTACTATTATTATTTATTTTAATTATATTTACAAAATACAACATTTTCCCTTAATATTTGTACAAGTCTTTATATTCATATAAAATCAATAATTTATCGTCAAATTGTTCTTTTTCTATATTCGATTATGGGTATGATGACATCATAGTTTTAATGTTATATATTTACTACATACGCTCATATTTGTTCACCTGCATATTTATCCATCTCTATATCTTGAAACAGATGGGTCTTCAGCACCTCGTTAATCTTTGTCACAAATCGAATTTCTTTTTTTGGACGGAGGTTTGACGAGGAATTGAGGCTCATCAGTATGATGAAACAGGATCTTTTTGTTATCTATCTATATATATATATATACTATTTTTCACTTGTTTTTTTTCTCATACAATAATAAACATGACATACTATTTCAAATAAATAACTGAGTAATAAGTTGTTGGTTTTTTTCTTAAAAGGGATTCTTTAAGAGTCTATTATTTCCTAATAATGAAGACAATAGAAATACGATTATTCAATAGTATTCTATATGTTAATATAAGATCGAGCAATATATTTTATTTTATTTTCCTAGTCAATTGTTCATCAATACGATAATTGATTCCAATCATGATCTTATGAAATAGAGAATAACATCGTTTTCTCTTCGAAAATAAGATTTCCCTTGATAATAGACATAGTCATCAAACTACTTCAATTTTCTATGATAATGACTTGTAGTTCCTTTCATAAAGTATTAATTATGTATGTTGAATAAATAATTTTCTTCTTGAATATATATTTTATACCTAATTATTATTTACAAAGAAAAATGTTAATTAATTGTTTAGAAATTTTTATTTTATCTTTTTCTATCTATATATATTAACTATCAAATGAGATAATAATATCTAATCATAATAAAGATTTCAATTAAATTCTTTTACGTTTTATTTTAGAAAGATTTCTTTTAGTTGTTATTTTTTTTTCAATTGTTTTAGTCTTTAGTTTTTTATTAGTATGAACAGTTTGTATTTTATTATATTGAATAAGATCATGCATTATTGTAACACATTCTTTTGGATATTGTCCAACAGCTGCTTCACCCGATAACATAATATAATTGGCTTTATCTAAAACAACTGCTCGATAAAGATCTGAAACTTCAGCACGAGTTGGTACAGGACATGTTATCATTGATTCAAGTATTTGTGTTGCAATTATAAATGGTTTATTTTGTATTTGACAACGTTGAACTAAATCATTTTGTATAAATGGTACACGAATATGTACTGGTGTCGTTTCAAGAGCTAGATCACCACGTGCAATCATAATCATATCACATTCATTAATAATACTTGTTATATTAACGGGTTCAATAGCTTCAGCCATTTCAATTTTAGCTATGATTTTAGGATAATAATTTTTTATATTATGTAGAGAATTTTGAATCGCTGTTTTCAAACGATAAATATCATCGATAGTTTTAACAAATGATGTAGCTACATATTTAGGTTTTATTATAGGTAATAATTTTTCAATAAGACGATGATCATTTTCAGTAAGAAAATCTATATCAATTGTACCATCTAGAAAAAATTTAAAAAAACCTTTCTTTCAATATTTTATATCTGTATGATGTTTTCATTAAACGATATGTCATAAAAACTTACAAGGTAAATTAACACCTTTATGACTTTTAACTGGGCCACTATTTAGTGCTTCTACTTGTATACGATTTTTTTCTATTTTAATTACACGAAATTGTAATTTACCATCATCAATATAGACAATATCGTTTATTTTAGTATATTTTTCGATTGAAAATTGACATGGAAGAGTTTTTAAGTTGTTTTCTTTATGTTCTTGTTCTTTTTCAATAATGACTTTTTCACCAGTTTTTACTGCTAGTAATTTATCATGTATTTCTCCTAAACGAATCTTTGGTCCGGGTAAATCAAGCATTAAATCCAATCCAGCATTAGTAGCTAGTTTAGCTATACGTAAATGTTCTTCAATAATACCATGAGATCCATTTAAACGAGCTATTTCAACCGAATGTTCTTTGAAATATTTTAAAACTTCAGGATTCCCACTAGCAGGTCCTAATGTTGTTATTATTTTAGTTGACATAATCGAAAGAATAAAAACAAAATATCGATAATAACAGAAAGACTAGAATTTAAAGTTAATCATTGTCACTAAGGATTTCATCCGCGTTTTCTGTTAAATGTTTTTTAAATTTACAACGGAGTTATCGTAATATTAAAATGGTTGTCTGTAAATAGATGTCAATTATGTTTTAATAAAAACATATGTAATAAAGTTTATTGTACTCGATGATATAATCAATGATAGAACATTCTTCGAGACTTAAGAATAAATTTCTATACTTGTAAATTATTGATAATAAAAACATAGTGTATTCATAAAGTGTCTGTCAGTTTTCCGAAAGCTTTCATTATAGAACATCTTTTGACATTTTTTTCAATATAAATTAGCTTTATATATAGCTCATTGCGTTATTATAATAAGACGTGTACTGAGAATTTGTCATGCTTTTCTTCACTTCCGTGCTTAAAATACACACTAAATATAGAACATTGTAGAATGTAAACAGAACTTCAGGGCTATAGAACAAACAATTCTTTTCCAAAATAAAATGTTTATATGATTTCTATAATTAACACTTTAGTTATATTGTTGTTTCATGAATAAAGTAAATCGATTATCAAATTCACAATTTTGATTAAAATTCTTTTTAAAATTTAAATTTCAAATTGATGTTTGATTTTGAGAAACAACACTATTTTCTAATGACTTATTTTACCACAAATTTGCTTTTTAATAAATTTACTTAAGATTAGTTTTCATGATAAATACGCCATAGTTTTATTTATGTTTTAAATAAATCTAAAGAAAATAAAGATCGAACAAATACCATCGTAACACATTGAAATCGGAAGAAGAAAAAGAACTATCGACGGTATACATTACAAAATACAGATAATGAATCATTTCGATTAAGTATAAGCCTACACAAAATTGAAGGGTAAACTAAATCCTTTTCGCCTTTTTTATTTAATCACTATCGATTGAATCAATCATTTGATAATTTGTTATTAAAAACAATGCGTTTATTATTACTCTGTTTTGTTATTACCATTATTCTATCAGCCATCAATGCAACAGACGATATACGACAACGATTTGAAGGACTTGTAGGTAAAACTGTTCAAGCTGCATGGCAAAAAATCGATCGTGAAGGTTTCATTCATTTTTTTCTGAACACTAAAATTAATTTATGTAATTATTTTAGCACCAGGTAAACCAATAGAAATAATGCGACTACGTTCTCCGCAATCAAAAAAAGCAATAACTCCAGGTTATGTACGCGTTATTCTTAATGATCGAACTGGTCGTGTGCTTTATACACCTATATTACAACCAAATTAATTTCATCTATCTATTATTAATCAATGAAAATTTTTCCATTTTAAATAAAAATTGTTCATATTGATGAAAACTGTATAGTTAAATATTTTATTTGAAGTATTTCTTTTATATTCACAATTGATATCGTTTTGAAAATAAAAGATTGATTATCATGAGAATATTGAATGTCAAAATAAAAGAAAAAACACTTGACAATTAAAGAGGCATCTTATACTATTGCTATAACATGTATAACTACATGTTAAGGATAAATTTATACATTTTTTAGTTTATGATAAATATTGATGATGGACAATATTTTTATAACAATGAATCATTACAAATAATAAGAATAATATTCATTTCTTTTTTTTCTCCTTATCAAACGTTATGATTAACAAATGAATAAAACATTTTATTTGATTTCAAATCTTCTTTTATTTTTTATAAATATATCTATTGAGAATGTTAACTTTCAAAATAAAACGAAGTATGTAAAATAAACAATTGACGATGTTCTTCATCAAAAATTTCTTTAGTAAAATGTAGCAATAAATACACTTCTATAGTTTTGTTTCTATCTTGATTATTCTTGTCAGTTATGTTATTTCATGATCGAGTAGTTTGAAAACAACATGTTTGTGTAGTAAAGCAAAAGAAGACATACACATTCAACAAACGCTTGCTCACTTATCCATTCATTTATTGAGGACAAAAGAGCCAAGCGCGTTGTCATTTTCATTCATCTTTGATTTACTTGTTGCAAATATTAAATGTTGTCATGTTGAGTGTCTGTTGTATGTTGCTTTTACTATGTTGATTGTTTAGTTAAAAGAAGAAAAAAAAGAATACAACTAACAGAAGAAGAAGGCCGCTTCAACTATAACTATTTATTGTGTGGCATCTTTATTTGTCTACAATCGACGCAAAATATAATGTCAATAATTTATATATGCACAATAATAGCTAAAAGAATGTTTTATCATATCGAATAAAATTGAATTTTTCATATAAGATTTATTCAAAAATAACTTCGTCATTTTATATAAAAATCAATGAATATAATTTTTCTTCTTATTGTCTTTCGAAAAGTTCAAACAATGCTTTGATAAGTAACGAAATATTTACAGTTTCATTATTTGCTAAAAATCATTTGATTTAATTATCATCTTAATGTAATGCTATCTTTGCAAATACTTGGAAATTGGATATCTTTATTTGTATTGAAAATATAGTTGTGATCATTCATTTTGTATAATTGAAAATCGATAGATTCATAAATAAAAATTAACTAAAGTTATTTAGCCCGTAGGCTAAAATTGTTCTATTCATATTGTGAAAAATGAATACACTGAAGTCTTATCGAATCTTCACATATAGGCTATTGAACTACAACATTAGCAGTGTTTTAGCTGTTATCTAGTGGGATAGTTTTGACAGTCTTTGTATACTTAAATTTTTTAAAAGATATATCATATTATTTTTGAAAATCCCTATCTCCGATCATAGCAAACAAACGTGCACAGTCACCAATTATTTATATATGTCAATAGAGATAGGTCAAAAAGGATAGTTATACAAATTTTGAAGTGTTGTCTTAACGGGAGAGAGAGAACTGTAATGAATCACAGTCTTCTACTTATCCTCTTTTGCCAAGTATATGTATATATTTATCTCTGTCATATCACATTACACTACATCTTTTTTGTATTCATGATTTATGTTTTGATTCGTATTCAACACTATTAACATTACAAACATCATAGAAACAAAAAAGAACAAAATCTTTTATAAAAACATTATGTTTTCTCTCTCTCTCTCGTCTCTTAATAAACTCTATTATATAAATCATGCAATCATTATTATTATTAAGATATAGTTTTTCTTTTACTTTTTTGTCTAATAATAACTAAGCGCTTTAGGATCACTTAACAAGAAAATTATATCACAATTTTTTGTTTAAACGATAAATTTCGTTTTTTCCTTTAGGTAAAAATATTTTCTCAAGAAACTCAATTTTTAATTGAACAAAAGAGAAGCTGTAAAAGAAGATGAAGAAGAAGAAGAAGAAGAAGAAAAAAAAAGAAAGCAAAATTGGTAAAAGAAGTGTATGTGTACATTGTATGACAAGAAGAAAGTTAAAATAACAATGGAAGTTTGGTTTAGTAGTAATGCTTATGATGAAACATAGGTGTTTTATTAAAAATACACATATACGACGAGTAGCAAAACGAGAAAAGAGAGAGAAGAACATTGATTGCTTTATTGAATGAAGAGAAAGAGAAAGAAAAAGCATCGTATTGGTTTATTTCTTTTTTTTTCTTCATCGTATAAGATCAATTGATTGGAATTGTACCGGCAAAAAGAAGACGGAAAGCAAAGAAAAACAATCATCACTCGACCAGTCAACATTTTCTTTCCATTTTCTTCTGTCTCTTTCGCTCTCGCTCTCTCTCTCTTTCTCTCTTCGTTTCTTTTCTTTTTGCTTTTTTTACACATATACAAAATACATCGACTTCCATAATCATTCACAAGATCAGAATTAATTTTCTTATTAAAAGAATCAAAATGATTTCATCGTCATCACATCATTTACAACAAGCGTATTTAGCTGCAACAGCTGCCGCATTAGGTGCACCACATCTATTCTATGCAGCAACTAGTAATCCATCAACGAATGGGTTATCAAATGAACAATTATCACCAGAATCATATGCATTACTAAGAAATTATATATTACGTTCACAATCACCATGTGATAAACGTGAACAACATCAAAAACCACCCTAGTAAGAATTTATAAACGAAATATTTTGTTTGAAAATATTTTCTTTTTTTGTTTTGAAATTTTTCTTAGTTCATATATTGCTTTAATTGCAATGGCTATTAAAAATGCACCACAACATAAGATTACATTAAATGGAATTTATCAATTTATAATGGAACGTTTTCCATACTATCATGAAAATAAACAAGGATGGCAAAATTCAATTCGACATAATTTATCATTAAATGATTGTTTTATTAAAGTACCGAGAGAAAAAGGTAATATTAACTTTTCTTCTTTTCTATTAACAAGAAGAAGAAGAAAAAAAATGAAAATGAAAATGAAAATGTTTATTTTATTAGGTAAACCAGGTAAAGGAAGTTATTGGACATTAGATTCAAAATGTGATGAAATGTTTGAAAATGGTAATTATCGTCGACGTAAACGACGACCAAAACAAATGATGTCAAGTATACAAAAACCTTCATCTACATCATCATCAATTCCATTAGATGATTCATCGTTATCATCATCAGAATCAAATCATAATTCATTATTAATATCATCAAATAATGATGATGATGATGTTATAAATCCAACAACAAATTATGATCAATATTCTTTTCTTAAAATTGATTCATCAGATAATAATAATAAAAAACGACGACGTTCACCAACACCGGATATAAATAATAAAAAAGTCAAAACAGTTTCAGCATTTTCATCTATTGATACATTAATTGCACCAACAAAAGAAACAAAATCTGTTGATTTATCATTATCTCCTTGTCGATATAATAATAATAATAATCATAATCATAATAATAATAATAATAATCCATATTTATCATCAATTCCTCAACAATATTTATCGTTATTAACAAATAGTTTTGGTCTTAATCCAGCATATAATCGACATTTTTCAACAAAATAGAAATTAAAAAGAAACAGAACAAAAATAAATATATTCAAAACTTGTGTTTTCTTTTTGTTTTCTTTTGTTTGTTTTTTTTTTCATTCCAAAAAAGTCTCTTGTCAATTCAGTGTTTTTCTTTTCTTTTTCTTTTTTTCTTTCTTTTTTTTAAATAACAACGATTTATCTGTCTATATGAAAATAATCAATTTCTTCGTATGCTTTCATATAAAATAATAATAAGTGTCACCTATCTGGAAACATAATCATGACGATTATAGTTTATGATTAAATATAAACAAACAATAGTTAGAAAAAGCACAAACCACTTGCTTTACCATGATAAGCTTCATGGTGTGCATGTCGATATACAGTTCGATAATTTCTTTTTCAACAGCATTATGTGATTTGTATCTTATTTTGCCTATTCTCATATACATTAGTAGAGCATCATATAAACATACATGATGTCCTCGGGCTTGTTTTCTTATTGCTCTATCACGATAATTCTCATCAGATATAGAATGTTGTATATAACAGTATGATGCAATTGACTAGATTTTCATGTTTTTCTAAAGATTATTTTCTTTTTAAACCAATGAAATTTTTATCCGATAAAACACGTTGTAAGAGAAGAAATAAAAAAGAAGAAAAAAAAGTTTAGACGCGATCATCATTATAAATGATTAATGATGAAACATACGCGTGTCGTATATAGTAATTCTTTTTTTTTTCTTTAGGGCTTTTTATATATTAGTGTTATTCTACAATGAATTCTTAAGGAAACAAAATATAAATATGTGTGTATGTGAACATCAAACACATCACTTGGCTACTATTGCTATTGCCACTGTATTATAGTACATTGTCGAAATTTATGTGTGCGGTACATCTTCTAGCAAATGCCTAAAGGAAGACAAACAATCGGAATAGTTTGTTTGTCTAAAGTATTCATTTCGTGTCTATATTGAAATATATGTGATGATGATTTTTATAGATGAAAAAAAAATTAACTTTCTCTATGCGACTTCCGTTGTTCATATGTATGTTTTTTTAACTAGTTGATATGACACCATAAAGTCAATTTCAATTTGACATATATATGTAATAATGAAACCTTGTAAACGAGACGAAGAGAAAAAGAAAAAGAAATCATTTTCTTTTTCTCCTTTAGCATATCTTTATAGTAACAAGATATATAAGATTAAAGAATAATAATTTAACATTAACTGCTTCTCATATATATATATATAAGAAGATATGTTATTGTTCATGAATAGCAAATATATATATTTGTATATGTTTATAGAACAATAGAAAAAAGAGACACATAGACATTCAAAACTCATTTTCTAATTACATATACACAATATATGAAATGCTGAAGATCACAGTCTCCGTCGTTGTTCTTTCTAAGATAAACATACATATATACATATATAGTGCCGTGTAAATCTCGTACATAAATAAACGACCATTAAAGGACAACAACGAAGAGTGCGCATAAAAGAAATAAAAGTATTTATACCGCCATCTCTTACACTGGCGCATCTCTATTTATAACACCTTTAAAATAAATGTATATTATTTCATTTGAGTATAAATACACCTGTAAAAACTTTAACTGTCAGAAAAAATAACAATCATAAAAAAAAGAAACGAAATTTATTTTATCCCTATGACATTTATTTGTATACTATTGAATGTAATTACAAGATGGTGAAAATCAAATATATAACATTCTTAATATATAAAGAAAAAACAAATGCCATCATCTATTTGTGTATATATACATATATATATATATACTAAATATGTTCCAATCAAATTGCAGAAATAATGTTGACACGAGAAAAAGAGAAGAGCGCACATTGAATGAGGATGACAGGAAAGTGATCAAACAGTATGCGGGCCGCTTTTGATATCTTTTTTTGTCTGTATGTAGTTTCTATTTAGTTGTTGTTTTAACTAAAATGTGCACTTGTGGTGCTCATCATCATTCAATACAGATGATGATAAAAATGTACTTATTCTATACATAGTCGTCAAAGAAAAACCGATGTATATATATATTAAAAAAATAAACTACATGTGATGATTATTTTTATTTATAAAATAGAAAACGAGAGAATCAATTATATATTCTTATCTTTTTCTTCTTATTATAAAAATGAATTGTATCAATATTGGATAGTTTTTTTACCCATGAAAGTGAGATAATGATATATTTAGAGAAAAATTAGTAATGCAAACATATGGTGTGTTATATGATATAGTTGTTTCTTCGAGAGAAATAATAGTTCATGTTTTTTTTCTTGATTTTTTTTATTATAAAGAAATAAATGCAGATGTTTGCCAGTAGCCAGTTGAAATTATTCTTTCTCATTATAATTATAAATAACAAGCGGCGGAACTAAATATATGACTGTTAGGTGATATATGTTAAAAAAATTTATTGAGTTATAATAAAAATTAACTTTAACATTTTTAAGTAACGGATGTTAGTAGAGAAAAGACAAAGAAATTATATTTGTCTTAAACTTATTCAACAAAATTTAATGGAGTTTAGAATTGTTATTCTACATTTAAATGCTGGCAATATATTAATAAAATAGGAAATGAATATTTTATTCAATTAAACGATTAATCTTAGCTAACAAAGTATCGTTTGATTTCGTAACAGAATTCGAATAAAATCAATACTATTGTTAGAGAAGTAAAGGACAAAAATAGTATAATCTATAATTAATATGACTTATCTGTGTATATATATTGTAATTGTAAATAATCATAGTCTAATATTATCGTATTTTATACAAATATAATCAAATACATCTTTTAGAAAACATCAATTAACTAAAATAATCATAAGTAGTTTTGATTATTAGATGATATGATATAAACTTTGTAACTAAAAGTTAGAAATATATAAACAACGACAAAATACGATGTATTAATTAAATATTTTATGATCGAATGCTGTATATAGATTACTCTGTAATCTATTGTGTAGTTACTAAGATTCTCAAATACTCTATTAAATAAATTTCCTATGATATTATATGTTGAAGTAATCATATGATACTCAAAATAAATAATTATTTATTCGAGCTCTCAATAAATCATTTTTGCGAAAAATAAATATATGTCTACGCTATTTGTTTCATTTCACAATATTGACGCACATACAATAAAACTATCGTATGTATGTATATATACTATTCTATTTATTTACAGAAGAACACATTTATTGTTTGAATTAGTCGATTGAACTAAAATCATCGAATAGTCATTTTGTCTATGACTATGAACAACAAAATAAATATGACGATTATTTATAGAATTTTCTTGTTGTTGAACAATTATATTTGTTTCAATTTGATCAGAATGTATAATCAAATGATGATTATTTGTCGTAACTGTATCTTGTAGTAATGGTATAATAAAAACATGATGATGTACAAGACATATTTCACCAATAAACATATTACGTAATTTAACAGTACCATATTCTGATGAATAATCTAAATAATGAATATATTTCGTCCACATATTACCATTTAATAAATGTTTTATTGCTGGAACATAATATGAAATATTCGAAGATTTTATTGAATTACTTTCATTTGGTAGAATAACTAATACAAGTAAGAAAATAAGATTTTCTTTCGAGAATTACAACATACGAAATTTTGCTCCTTTATGTTGTAATTGTTTGGCAAAAAGACTAAAATGATGATAAGATTGAATAATTATTGTTGAAAAGAATTCTTCAATTTGTGCATTATGACGTATTTCAGGTTTAATTGCATTTGAATTTAAACCGTGTTTAAATAATGTATGTAAAATTTTTCCATTATACGATCGTTTCCATATATTTGGATCTTCTTCACCAAGATCACAAAGTATAGCTGTTAAAAATTGTATTGATGCTAATTCATAAACACGTCCTTGAAATGGATTATCACAATTAGTTAATAAATGTTGAATAAATAATTGATAATATTCAAAATTTGATTTTAAATCTAAATTCATTGCAAATGTAGCATGCTTAATAAAAATTACAAAAAAAACAAAATATGAAGATTTTTCTTAAAATAATATTTCTTACTAATGATATACTCATCATAAGATAACGAAGAAGACCATCATTATAATCACAATACCAATTATTATCATACCATTCTTTTGTATAATCAGTTTTTAATATTATTAATCGAGCAAGTGCATCATTTAAATGTATTTGATTATCATTTAAATGAAGACTAAAATAAAATTTATTCGGATTCTATTTAGTTTATCAAACTTTACATAGCACAAGATAATGAATTCGATAATTCAACATGAAGACGTTGAACTTCTGTTGGTGGTAAATATTTAACATATTTATCAGTTTGATTTGTTCCACGAATAAGTGATGAAAGTTTATGATGAAAATCATTTTTCTCCATTTGTATATGATATTCTTGATGTTTAACTGCTAACCATTCACGAATAAGAACTGCTGTAGCATAACTCTAAGAAATATTAAATTAATCGCTCTTACTCAAGATGTGTACCAAGGATGGAACATGACGCCCCGGTACACCTCTGCTCTTACTTACAAATTGTCCAAGACAAATATTATCTTTAAAAAATTCAAAATCATCTTCATAATGTGGTTCCTTTAGATGATATTCAGGTATCCAATCTTGATGCCAAAGAAATTTTCTTTGTAAAAAATGATCATGTGAATGATGTTGAATAAAAATTGATGAATATAAATTATTATTTAGTATTTGAGATAAATTTAGATCAGAATGTAAATCAATTGTTTTCGAATATTTATATATTTCACCAATTTCTTTATTAATATAATAAAATTCTTTATCGGTTTTTTCCAAATCAAAAAAAAGACAATAATCATTTAAATGAAAATCTGGCCAAATATAATAAATATCTTTCCATATTAACCATACTAAACGAGCAACACGTACAGCGTAATCATCTTTTGTTTTATTTGTTTTCTTCCATAAATTTAGTGGTACCATAGGTTTAAGAATATCAAGTTCTGCATTGATTGGAATATGTGGAAGTTGTTTTAGTTTATTACGAAGTTCATTGATATGATGCGATGAGATTTTATTCGAATACATTAAACTATTGTGAATAAGGATTTTTTATATGAAGTTAAGCGCTTAAATTTTATATAATAACATAATGCAGTAAATCGATTTGTGGCATACATTTTCGAAATTTTGTAAAGATATCCATTAATTCGAGATATTTATCGCAGGAAAATCAAGATTTTTGAGGAAACAGACATGTTCTTTTACAAAATTGATCTAAAGAATTATAGTCGTTAATAACAAGAAGATTTCAGACAATCAATATTTAAAAATTTATTCCTCTTTTTTGTATATAACTTTATCCAATGTATTATCAGTTATTATAGAGGATTTGTTAACAAATAAAACAAATTTAAGCAGGATAAATTTGTTTTTAAAAAATATATTCAGTCTATCGAAAAGTTTTTGAACAAAGTATTCTAGATGAGTGAAAAACTATGAATTAGAATCAGAATTTTGTACTCTTTCTAAATATGAGCTCCGAAATTATATATTTGTTTCTTTTTGTTGTTCGAAAATAGTGAGGAAACGCTTGAAAGACCTAAAAGAATAGTTTAGACAAAATTTCCTCTACTAATCGTATACAAAATTAAGTGCTAAAATTTTTCCTCATATATCAGATTGCAGTATGAAATTTATTCTGCAAGATATAGTATTTGAATTTAGTTTGTTGCTCTCAGAACGTTCAAAGGTTGATTAAAATTGAACTCAAACTTCTGAGCAAATCATGTTGTTTAAGGAAATACAGATGTAGTCTGAGGTTAACTTTCCATTTGTAAAATCGCACCTGTTCATTCAAAAGTGCTGCTATTAAAGAGGAAAAAGCTCATTCAGATTCATTTCCATCTATTCTAATCTATTTCCACATATGCGAAGTTAAGAGTAAACGATTTATGTGCATATGTTGAACCCCTATACGTACATTATTAGATCAAAGGTTAAAGGTCACAGAAAAAAAACCATTTAGTATACACAAAACTTCTTTAGTTAAAATATTATTTCGCCAATATTTCCATTCATTCTTGCATATTTCAAATAGTTAGAATCAATCTTTTTTTTATTCTTAATTACATTTTGTAAGTCTTTCAGATAAATAACATCTCTACCATTAATCTGTTCTTGTTACTGAATAATTTCTGTTTTCTGATACGTTGAATTCTAAAGAAGATTATAGTCATAGTAAAACACTATCCTCTTTTCATTATTAGAAACATCTGTCTAATCTCATTATAATGATGTACAACTTCTATGAATAGTTTTATTACCAATTATAGATAAAAGAAGACAATTCATAATAATTTTAATTGTTCACATTGCATAACAAGTCTGATTATTTTATTATAAGAAAATAAAATTACTATGTATTGTTCTCATCTAATCAATTATTCTACTATTCACAATTTATAGAACAAAGAAATATTTTCATTCTTTTATTCACTAAACAATCAATTATTAATTGTATTGAAATCATTCTTTGTACTAAATCGATAGATAATATATAGTCAGTTTTACTTGTCTGTTAATTCATATATTTCACTCTTATAATTAAGCATCGGCCTTGCTATACTGAGAAATGAAATTCAATATAAAAAAATGCAGATAATCACACACACACAGATAAAAGAAATATATTGTATTGCATTGATGTATCGATGATTGTTATACTAATAAATTTCAATGTGATTGTCAATTACCACGTAAAGGATGAGAATGTATCTTATGATTTTCTGCATCATCAATATTTATAAAAGTAGATTTAATCTTCGAACAAAAAAAGAAACATAGTTTATTCATATATTAGACTTTGTTCTTTGATTCGAAATACTTTTTTAGGCATTTTTGAATGATATAACATTGATAGATCATCATAATGATTTGCACTGTTCAATGTTAACCGTTGTTTAGTCACACTAAATAAACATAATATAAGAAATAAAATAAAAAAAATTTCGAAATTAACAAACCGATCAAGTTCATATGCAATATGATTCTCAAGTTTTTGTACAAGATTATCAATTGTATTATTTTGTTGAGAAGATAATTGAAAAGGCTTACGAGATTTATTTTGTGAATGATATTTATCATATGCCTTAGATAAAAGATCAATATCATGAACATAATAATTATTTTCTTTTTCTTGTTTTAATAAAGAATTTGTTGTTTGTTGACAATGATTTTGATTGGCATCATCGTGTGTTCGATCAGGATAATCTGTTGACTAAGCACAAACAACAACATTATTTTTTTAAATTATAAAAAATAATCAAAATTATATACTTGATCAGTTGTTGTTTTAGATTTCTTTTTTACTTCAATTTGTATTTTTTTTTCCATAATATAATTTCGAATATCCTCAATCGTATCGTCAAGCAATTTCTATCAGATAAAAGATAACAATGAGTTTTTATATCAATATTTATAACATACAAGTACATTTCGAGTTGGTAATCGTTCGATAAGTGCTTCTCGATCGTATGTAAATGAGGTAACTTGTCTTGAAAATATAAAAGATCATCAAAATTGTAAAAAAAAGAGAATTTTTTATTACGGAATTTTTGTATATGTATGAGATGAACTGTCCATTGCCATAAGCAATTTTGTAATAGAATCATGTACTAAACGGACACAAGCTTTTTCAGATGTTTCCATCTTGAGTATTAATTCTTGTTGACATGCAGATGCATCAGCATTTTCATTTGACAGACGATCTAATGTATTCTCTAATTCATGCATACGTTGTTGAACACGAGTTAATTCATTAACTTTTTCCTAAAAGAATAATTCATTTGTAGGAACATTATTAAATTATTTCATAAATTTGAGTTAAAAAATCTCATAGAATACATTTTTATATGTAGATGAGTAGAGTTCATAACCGTAGCGAACAATTCTTGCCTTTAGAAAAATTAACCAATCAAGAATGAGTTCGTGCTTGATCATTAACTTAATTAGGATGTATCTAGAGAACATATTCATGATTAATGACTGAGAATTATACTAAATATATCCGATTTCCGGATTTATTCACGTATATTTAATTCCTTTCTTTAATAAGAATGACTAATGAATTGTCTAGCATATATAGATATATAAAATTATATTTCATAGATTATTAATAAAGTATTTCATCTTAGACTTTCTAATAGAGATTGTGCAAAAGTATTCTTAACTACAATGTGAATTTATTTGTATTTATTTTTCTCTTTGATTACATAAGTCTTCATATTGACGAATATTATTTTATTTAAAAAAAAGAAATGGAATTTTAATCATTTGATTCAATAATTATTAAAATACTCAAACGTTTTTTTCTTTTCATTTTATTTAACATTCACAATTGTAAATATTTACACAGTATTTCAAACAAAAACAAACATAGTTCTTAAATTTCCTTTTCATAAAAAAGAAAAAAAGAAAGAAGAAGTAAATAAGTCATTATAAATAATGTTTATATAATTGACAGTCTATAGTATTTCACTTCATGCTATTACTTTGGTAAGTCTTATGAAATCTTAATACGATAAATAATTAATAGAACTATGAACTTTCGATTTACATCTTATTTAAAATATAAAAATTTTTATTATTAGTATATAACTCATTTATTTAACTTCTAGAACTTCTGTTTGTCATTCATACGATACTATATCATTTTTAATAGTCATACAACAAACTTTAATTATTGTATATATGTATACGATGAAAACATATCTATGAAATAATATTTGACTTAATCGAATGAAACTTTAATAAGTTTTTAAAAAAATACTTAATCAATATATTGAAAAATTCGTATTCTTTCTTTCGGTAGCTACATACCATTTGAAATTGATTATGTAGTCGAGAAACTTCATCATGAAATTCTTTTCGACATTGTTCTTTCATATTATAGATAGCATTGATACGTTCACGACCATTTTCTTTTAATATTAGTTGGGCTTCACTCGATTGCTATTGTATAAAGAAGAAAAAAAAATCAAGAATATGAAATTGTATAAAAATGAAATCAGTTTTTCAACAAACCATTTGTGCATCGTATAATTTCTTTTCTAAACGTTGACAACGTTCTTGTTCATGTTTTAATTGATCTTGTAAATTTTTATATAATCGAATTTTCTCTTCTTCAAATTTTGCTCGTTCACCGGCTATTAAAAGTTCTTTATGTTCATTCCAAAGTTTTCTTTCACGTTCCATTCGATCTTCCATCTGTACAGAAAAAAAACAGTAAATAAATCAAAATTTCATTTAAATCCTTAATCATAATAAACCTGTAATAACGCATTTTTGTTCGATGATATAAGTTCAATAAGTTCACTATCTTTTTGAAAGATTAATCCTTTCAATTTAGCTATTTCTCGATCTTTAATCTATTTATATATATAGGACTAGATTTTGTTTGAAACAATATGAATAATTCTTACAAGTATATTCCAATTTGAATTTACATTTGTACGTTGTGAAGTATTACATATAACCTTTAAATAAAATATATTATTTAATAATTAATATAGAATTCTATTAGTATATGTAACCATTTGTTGAGTTGTTGATGGAATACATGGTGCTCGCGATAGATCATTTTTTTGATTAGGAGAAACAATGTCATTTCTAAATAATTGTTCTTATGAATATTTAAAAATGTCTTTTTTACGATAAGAGAAAAGTCAATAATAATAATAATAACGAGTAAAATTATAATTAGTTATATTGCATACCTAAGTATATCAATCGTATCATTTTTTTGTTTTAGTTCATTTTCCAATGCTCGAAATTTGTCTTCAAATTTTTGTCGTATTTGTGGGTGTTGATGAGGACAAGTACGTAGCTTACTCATGTTGCGGTATGTTATGTTATGTTATACTTATATCCCTCTCAGTCGATCTTATCAAAATCAGCATGTAAAAATGTAAGACGTATATTTTGTACTAATAGAGAAAAAAAAAGAACGAAAGTCTGAGAGAGATGAAGTTGTATACAATGAACAAAAGAAGAGAGATCGATATGATGCTGGTAGTAGTAGTCAAATATTTGAAAGCGTGCTGTTGTCAGCATACACTTTTGCAGATTCTCTTTACAGAGCACAACCGCAACACGTATATCTTTTTTCTCCTCTGTCTCTCTCTCTCTCTTTATTCTCCACACCTCTCCTGTTCCTGACGCCAAGGCTTTCTCTCTCGTTCTCTTCGTCTTTCCTCTAAAATTCTTTTACATCTTTATGCCCTGAAAACTACTACTTTGCTTGCATTTTAAAGACGACTTGTTATATAGTCAAAAAGTAACCTTGGTCTCTAACATCGTAAAGTAGTAATCTTCTATAATGGAATGAAGTCACCCAGAGTCATCACTTCCATCATAAACGATAAAAATCACTTAATAAAAAAAAGACAAAAGAGTAGACAATTTAGTTAGCACGTCAGTTACTCAAGAGATTAGATGTATTCATCTTCTAAGATATGTGGAAATGAAAAAGAAAAGTACATAATTTATGCAAATATTTTCTCTTGATTTAATCAAAATATGTCACAACATCGTTTGTAACTGAGGTGTGCATGAAACTATTATAAAAACTTAAGTAATGAATTTTTCATTTAATCACTTGTTTCTATTATAAATATATATTGATTTTATGCTTCTTTTATTATTGTTATTATTATTATTATTCTTCATATTATGAGTTTCTGCTATTTTGTTCTTTTTTCAGAACGCATAGGCGCAATTAACTTGAGAAATAAATATAAGAAAAAAAAAACGAAGGCAAATGAAAGAGAAAAAAAAACAAACAATACAGATAATATTATCGGACGCATATATATGAGGAATCTACACATTGAAACAGTGGAATTCTTCACCGTCAGATGAAAAAAAAATAAACAAGAAAAAAATTGTAGATCACGAGAAATAAAACCTATTTAAATGTAACTCGTTGGCCAACACTTGTCGATGCCATTGTATTTTGTAAATCTGATAATGTTCGACCATGAGCATCATCACTTTCATCTACACTACCACGATAAATACTTATTCCACCCAGATGTGTATGTTCATTATGACTTCCTGTACTATCTTCAGGTGTTTTTAATGGATCATGATCATGTTTATCACCACCACCACTACTTAATATACTATTGACTGTTCCACCGCCTCCACCAGTGCCTGCAGTACTTGTTCCATGACGTTGAAAGGCTTGCATAGAAAATCGACGTTTTCGTCGTTGTCCATGTCGTTTTGTTAAATGTGGATTATCTTTACGCATTGTTTTCGTTTTTAATACATGTAATGATGTATATAAACGTTTCAATTCCGCCTTTAAAATAAATTACATATATATATCTTTCCAAATATATAAATCTTACTCGAATTTCTTCAGGATCCATATCTCGTAAATTTAATTCACCAAATTCTACATCACCATTTGAATGTAATTTACTGATAAGATCAGCTGGTTCAGCACCATCAACTACTGAACGAACACGATCACGTCCGGCAAATTCTTCATTAAATGGTCGGAATATATAACATAACTAAATCAATATTTAAAAAGATAATTACTTTTACAAATGAAAAATAAAATTAATTTTTACTTTTGTACAAAAAATAAGTATAAGCATACAGGTTACTGTAAAATGGCATCGTAAGACAGATAAAATAAAAAGTGCATCAGGATTAACTGTTGACCATAAACAGTCTCTATGAAAATTGAAGAAAAGGAAAAAAAAAAGTTTTTTTTTTCTTATTTTCTTTCAAAGAAAAGTCCGTAAGTACTTACTTGATTATATGAAGTAATGTTGAAAAAAGCATTTCACATATAATAACAATTGTTATTAATTTTCTTTCATGATATTCACATGGAGCAGTTCTTGTACTATAGATAAAACGAATGCCAACACAAAGAAATATAAATTCCGCTAAAATAAAAAAAACGATCATTTTTTTCTTCTTGATTTCTTTTGAAAATTATCAAATTTTACAAACCAATTTGAACAAGATAATCCCATGAACGTGGACGACATGTTTGAAAAGAAAATCTTCCTTTTATTGTAACACCATTTCCTAATAAATATTTTCCAAGTGGTATATTTTCATTGGCATGATCTATATTAACTAATGTCCATCCAAGTAAATAACCAGTTATTGATATTGAAATAAAAAATAATATACGTAATATATCTTTTTCTTTGACTTGTACACAATGTGCCTTACGAGATTGAAATTCAGCTAACATTCTTTAATAGAATACAATATATATGAAAAAAAAGTGACTAATTTTCATATTAAACTTACTTATAAATACGTAATATTAATGTTCCATAAACAATAGTAAAACCAAGTTCACGTAACCATGGCATTATTAAACAAACAATTCCATGTGGACCTAAACTATCGATAATAACCTGGAAAGAGAGAATTACAAAATGAAAATTATATTGTAATTATCCTACTGATGCATAGAGTAAAACGGCACCAAGTAATACAAGTTCAAGTAAAATCCACATTGAATGTTTAATTATTTTTGTTTTACGTTTTTTAAATACAATAGCAGCAAGTATAGCAACAAACACAATAAATATCGATTGAATTATTATTATTATGGTAGGTAATAAACGATTATGAGTTATACGACATAATTCTGGATGACATTTACATGTATCTATTTTTAATGTTAATGATCCATTATCATTTGTTTTATTCCATTCTAATTCATTTCCATCAATAATTAAACTTATATTTTCTTGTGAATTCGAACAATGACAATCATAAGCTCCTAAAGTAAAACCTTCACCACGACGAAAAAGACACTAATAGTAAATAAAGATATTAGTTAAGTTAGAAGAAATATTTTAACGATAAAAGTAATTTACTTTCATTCCAGTAGGACATTTATGTGTGCCACCAAATGGTACATCATTATTAGCACATTGATTTATATCAACAGATGATATGTTGAAATAAGTAACAAGAAAATAACTACGAATAACAAAAATGTTTACCATTATTTAAGATGCCTGTGTTTTTTTATTACCTAGTTGTCAATGGAAAAATATGTGCCATTAGAAAAGTTTCATTTTTATTCAATTCACATAGAACAGGTCCAATCCACCAGCCATCATTAAATAATGAATTATTACTATTAGACGTTGTTTGTTTTAATGTTTCGCGTGCATTTGCTGGTGTAAATTTATGTAAAATAACATTTGAATTTTGTTTTAATTTAACATCATGTATGGAATCAAAATCACTTTGATTATTTATACGATAATATTTTATTGTATCATAATATATATATGCACCACCATTATTATCATTAAATAAGGGTGGTGCGACAATGAGATTTATTTCTTTTATGGATAAATGAATAGTAAGTAATAAACGTATACGAAAACTATATTCATCATGAAATTTAGCTAATGCAAAATCACCTAATAAATTTGATGAATTATTTAATTTCTGACGTATACTAGCTGCTGTAGATTTTAATGCAGAAAAGCTTTTTTCAAAAGTTCTTTCGACCAAAGAAATAGTTTCGAATGATAAAGTTTTTGGTCCTGGTAAAGTATAAATTCCATCAACTGCCGAATTTATTGTACAATCACTTAATGCAGATGATGTTCGATGTAATAACATTTTGCTTAACATTTCCGTACAATGTTGTTTATCATTAATATTTAATTCTGTTGATGGTGGTGATGGTGGTAATTGTCTTTTTAAACGATGATTTAAATATGTATTTGTATTTTTTTGTGTAGGAAATAGAATAAAAAAAGTCAAAAGTAATGAAAGAGAACTAATTAGAAATATGATTATATATGATCGAATATGTACGAAATCAAATATTGATTGTTTTGATTTAGAAAAAGTTAACATGTTATTATTTCGAAGTTGAATATAAGATGACAATGATGATGATGATGATGATATATGATCATAATCATCGCGTGAATGATAATGTTGTTGTTCAGATTTTTTCTGTCTCATGATTAGAATCACAATAATAATATTTTCAAGCTGAAAGAAAGACGAAAAAAAGAAGGAATAGATAATTGAATTATATACTATATATGATTTTTTTTATTCTGTATATATTAGTATAAAGACCAAATGAAGCAGAATAATTGAAAAAGATAGAAATTTAGAAAAAGAAATAAAAAGTTTTTCTATTTCCATTCATATATATATATAAATATAGATATAGATGTATATATACAGAGAGAGAGAAAGAAAGAGAAATACACACAAAGAACAACAACAGGTAGTTAATGATAAATACTTATTGTAGTAAAAATAAAAATTCTATTCTTATTTTCTCTTTATTATTCATCTGACAAGATAATTTCAATTTGACTAAGAGATTAAATTTTATTATGATAGACTAAGACTTATTTGCTTACTGACTATTTTTTCTTCTGTATCGTCTTTTTTTTCTTCGACATCTCTCTTCTTTGTGTTAGAAGCTGTTCCATCTAAACTACAATACAGGACTACTCGACGTCGTCGTCTCAGAAACTAAATCTGTTCTGTCTTTCTTCTTCTTCTTCTTCTGCTTCGTGGTCGTCGTCGTCGTCGTCGTCGTCATCGACTTCTTCTACTGATGTTGCTATTGCTGTTACCACTATTGCTACTGCGTCTTCTTCTCTTCTTTTCCTGCGTGACGCCCGGGCGCACACAAGTAGACTTGCGTTCGCAAGCTCGCCCGATAATTGATCATTTGTTTTTTGACATTCACTTGGTTCCTCGCTCTGAATGCACGCGTTGAATCGTGTGTAGTGGTAGTAAGTTCTACGGGATCTCGATCTACGCGTGTGTGTGTTCGAGTAATGAATATCCAAATTCATATTTCCTCGCTCTCTATCTTTACTCGATAATCATGTTCCGTTGTTGGTCTGGGTGTCTACTAATAATAGAACTGATTATGTTACATATATATATATATATAGCACATGTTTTCTTCTCGTCTCTATCTTATTGTCATTTTTTTGTCTCTTAGATTCAATTGTTGTCATTGACAAGAATATGAAACGGATATTCTTATTGTGTCGATCGATTCTGATGTGAATAGAAGAGACAAGTCCACAAATAATAAATGACCATCTGTTAGATGTAAAACAATAAGAAGACAAAAAAAATAAATATATGTAATGAAATATCTGCCAATATAGATACGATATGATTATCAAAATATTTTTATTATAGATCGAATGAATAAAACTAACTAAATAAATGTTTAGAATAAAGAGAGAAGGAAGACAAATAAATAATCATAAAAAAAGGATCTGGTGAAATCTAAGATAGTGATTGGAAATGCGAATGTCTACAGGCACATTAAATAATCATGAACTATCATATCTCTTTTTTCTCATCTATTTGTTTATCTGTAAATATATTATTGTTATATGCATATTGTATAATCAAACTTACCACAAATAATAGATGTTCACTTTGATGTTGTAATTCTTATTTATATAAAACAAAAATGAGGCTTGATATATAAATATGATATATTATTAGTTTTTCTTTTTTTATTTATTTCAAACTCATCTCTTTTCATCGCTTAATTTTTTTCACACTAACTTTTTTCTTTTTTGTTACTACATACTTTTTACTAAAATAGAAACGAGTGAATACACAGGAAGAAGTATCGTTTTACATTTTTTTTTCACGTACATATTCCAAAATAAACACTCTATCTTTCTATTTTATTGTCCTACTACACATTCTACTACCAAAATTTAATGACAAGCGTATAGTTGGATGCGCGCGCCTGTTTCTAAACAAGAGAAGAGAAAGAAGAAAGACGAAGGGCAAATTTTTTCGCACTTTCTTACGCGTATACTCTAATTCTCACCGGAATTCTTCAACACGGACGCACGATCGTTTCCTTTCGAAGACGAGTCGAATTGACGCATCACTACATATACAACATATATGTAGATTTCATGTTTGCCTCGACAAAAAGCTTAGTCTCTAGCAAGCAAACAAGCAGCAGCACTAGAAGCATCCCCATCTCCCACTACTATTCTTCATTTTCTTCTGCTGCTTCTTTTCCTTCTCCTTCTCCTCCTGCTTCTTCTTCTTCTTCGTCTTTTCCTTCTTATTCTGGCTTTTTTTTTCTTTTGCTTTTCTTTATTTTTTTTCTCTGTTATGAGCGTACGAATGCTTCGGTAGGAATCGACAATAGTCCTTCACTTCTGTTCTTGTTCTTCGACGACGGTGACGATAGTAGAAACGTCGTTTTTTGTCGCATTCACTGCTATTTCTTTCCATATCTTGAACAGCATTAATAACGACGCCAGCCTTTAGAGCCTCTCCTTCTCTTCTCTTCTCCTTCTCCTTCTCCTTCTCCTTCTTCTTCTTCTCTTTTTTTTACACAACCAAACACAAATGCATGTGGTATCGACGTAACCTATATGAGGATGAGAATGATGAGTACTCATCGTTGTTGCCGAGAAAGACAATGTGACTACGACTATGAATACATACACACATACATACACGCACATACTCACCCACACATAAAAAAAGAAAAGTAACGGAAAAAAAAGAAACGAGAATGACAGTTCATATGTTCGATAAATGATTGTTCATTCATTATCATGTTAGTAATGCTCGTCACACAACAATGATGTCTAACACTTTCTTTCTTTTTTTCTCTCTCTCCAAAAATGTCACTCTCTCATATACTATGTATATATAGTAATGTCAACTAGAGGGAAAATAAAAACGATGACTTCTCTCTATATTTCGATACAAAGATTATCAATATGGTATTATTGATAAATATATATATATATATATATACATGTGTAATATTATTATATGCTCACTAAGAATTAGAAAAATCCGACAAAAATAAAAAGAACTATTCTCAATATATATAGTATCGATATATTTATTTATTTATTTATATTTACTTTACTAATAGATCATAGAGTGCATTTATTGGACAGTTATTTATTGAGAACTTCACATGATATCAATGTATATCGATGAAAACATATCTGTTTCCATCATAGTCAAACAAACAGATGATACCTCTTTTCTTAACAATATGTTTATGAATGTTTTCATAATAAACAAATAACAAAAAAATAGACGCGAGAATGTTCAACAGATCTTCTATCATCATCATCTTACTGTTATTACTTAAAGAAGAAAGAAGATAGATCTAATATATATATATATTTACTTCATTTACGTAATTTGGTTTTTTATCTGCACTTATTCATAATGATCATCGATTGATTAATATGAATGAACATGCATACATATGAATAATTGCATAGACGAATAATATTCGTAGTATTTATATGAATCTTCTTCTTCGTCTTTTTTCTTATATTATTTATTTGATGCATCTATTCATCGTTTCAACAAAGAAATATATCTAAGTATTCACTTGATATCTGTCGTTTTTAATCGATAATTCAGAAATAAAAAGACTGTTTTTTTTATAAAAGTAGTAAAAGAGAAAATTGTTTAATTTCATTTGGTATTAATCAACGACAATAACAACAACAACAACAACAACAATATTTTTCCTGTTCGTCACTCTTTATTAAAATCCATTTGCTATGCGTCAGACCGATTTCTTGTTACACTTGTTATAATAATAGTATTATATTAATCCATATTCACTTTCTTTTCTCCATTAGGAAATAAACCATAATTTTTTATGATATTTTCAAATGCTAACATGCTCTTTCTATATATATATATATATATAGATGGCTATGTTTAATTTTAATTATAACTGAAAAAAGTGATTATTCAACTTTTCTTTTCATTAATAACAAAAAAAAAACAAATGTAAACATATTACATCCATGGGAAAACACTATGAGTAGAATTATTTCCTTGAAATGATTGCTGCTGGGTTGGGCGTACATTTGGATTATTTGTACTAGAACTGACTACATTTGAAAACGGAGTAGACATATTAGTAGTAGTATTGGCATTGTTTTGCCAAGATGATTGTGGTATTGTTGAACGATATTGTGGTGATGGTGAATTTGATGTATTTTGAAACCAATTAGGTATACTTGGTGCAGGTCGATTATCATTACCACCACGAAAACCTCGATTATAACCACGACCACGACCTCGACCTCGGCCACGTTCTGCATTGAAATGATTTGGTTGAAAACTAAAGACAAAAGAAAAATGAAATCAATAATTTAATATAATTTTATTTTAAAAATATTTTTATCTACTTGTTAATATGATTAGCTGTTGCATCCATCATTTGTTCATTGGTAATTTCTTCAAAATTTCTTTTTCCTTTTTGTATTGCTTTAGCTGCACGTTCTTGTTCATCATCACTATAATCAATAGCAAATTTGGGTGGTTCATTATCATCTTCCCATGATGCATCGGAACCTTTTAATGCTCTTAATTCTTGTACAAAAACATATTTTGTATATGTTGTTTCTTTTGGTGCATAGAAAACTTCTTGATTTAATTCAATTTGACGTTGATAAATATTATCAATGTCATTATAACGAATAGAATAATAAGGTTTTTCAACTGGTCCAAATGTTTCAAATATAAGTCCAATTGAACGACGATCACGATTGAAAATAACACTATCATCATTGAGTGCTGGCGAATGAACTAATGATTCAATAATAACTAATTTTCCATCGATAATATGACGTATATGACCAATACATTCAATGGGTGTTTCTTCGCTAAGTGTAATTGTTAGATTTTCAATTGGTGGAAGTTCATCAACAGCAAGTTCGTTACGTGTACGTGGACCATGACGATTACGAAGAGCTTTTTGTTCATCGGTATCTGATTCTGAATCATCATTTATAAGCGTACTAAACAGAATGAATCATAGGTAAAATTAAACAACAAATTTTTTTTTGTTACTTTTTATCGTCAGATAGAAATGATTCATCACTTGACGATGAACTATCATCTTCAGAACTTGAAAAAATTTGACGTTTCTTTTGTTTTGATGTCATAGATCGATTTTTTGTTTTTTTTACTTTCTTATGATAACGTGGTTCAAGTTTAATTGTTACATTATCACAAAGTGAATTCACTAGATGAATCTGTTCAATAAGATCATCGAGTAAATTTCTAATATCATGATCAACTTAAAATAAATATAACAAAATATTTGATTTAAAACAAAAAAATGCATATTTTCAAATTATTTTTTTTGTTAAATTTCATAAAATAAATTTCTTTAATTCATCTAAATGATATATAAAACAAGGTGAATAGAGAATCTCTACTGGAGGCATTGTAAAGTATGCGAATCGTATACTAATGCATATTCATCTGTGTTGCAAATGATAGCAATCATGTCACAAGCAAATACACATACAGATGTTGACAATTAATGGAAGAAATGTTTACATAATCGTACTCATATTGCATAGACACTCACAAAGAAAGAAGAGATTTTTATATAGCTATCATATGTCTATTAGATAAATCTTGTTTGTTATTATTTCTACGACATTCTACAATTTAGATTATATTGGAAGGAATTTAATTAATATTTACTAATTTAATTAGTTACCTGAATAATTTGAATGTAAATTAGCCATACACTTCTATTAAAGAAAAATCGATCTAAAGGAAAATCTATTTGATTTATTACTAAATTATCATTTATTTAATAAATGGTACTTTATTTATTTATTTATTTCAGGAATAATCAAAATAAAAATATCTATATAGAAAAATAATGAGAAAACAATATATCCTTCTGTTTTTAGTCATGTTTTTACATAGAAAAAAACCTACAAAAAAAAATTTATTTAATTGATATATATTTGGTGGCAAATATTTTAAAAGATACACATAGTTTTTCGTGAATGATCATATTCTTACCAATAATATTATTCTTTTTTAGGTTCAAATTCTGAACGATTAATATTTGATGCAGTATCTCGTTGATTATCATCATCATCATCATTACTATTTCGTCTATCTACTAAGCGATTAGTATCGGAAATATCAACTCGTGTATTATCGTTATTTCTTTGTCTCAATGCAAATCGACTGGTAGTCGATGTACCCGCCATTTGATCGTCATTATGTCGCCTTCTGGCAAAACGATCAATATTCGAAGGATTATTTGATTCAACGTCACGGTAATTTCTTCTAGTATCAAAACGATTACTATCTGATATTATAGGTGGACGATCATCATCTCGTTCTGGGCTTGTTCCACGCATATAACTTGATGAGATATTTTTATATCGATAAAGATCTTCGGAATGTTGATCAGAGAAATGGCTGAGATTTGATGTAGCAAAACCATAATGTCGTTTTGGAGTATTCCTCGATGATACTACAGAAACAACAGCACTTTTATCAGTTTCTTCTTCGCTACTCAAACGAGAGAAAGGTTGTGATAAATGATCGCCTATAGCATTAGATGCAAAACCACTTGATCCAGATGTTAATGCTTGTATTGCTGGTGTCGATGATTTTAATGCAAGAACTTTACGAGATCTTGATGAATTAACTTGTGCTTGTAAATCATTACTTGCTTTGTTCCAACGTCTACAAAAGAAAAAACTTTTTGTTAAATATATACTTATATTCGAATGTTTTCACTTTTCATTAAATTGATCAGTTTGATAAGATCCATGACTACGTGCTTTTGAATTTAGATTATCCATATAAGCTAAACGTTGCTTTTGTACAGCTGGTGTTGACCATTTTGAAATCATACGTGATGCACCATCATCTTCCTCATCATCAGATATTGCTGTCCTAATAAAATACAAAATAATTATTTGACAATAATAAATCATTATCATTTTTTATTTACATCATATCATTGGCTGTACTTCGAATATGATTTTCTGCAATAACACTTCGAACAGCATTAACTTCAGCTATATCACGATTATTAGTTGCTTCTTTCAATTGTGTCAATACACGTAATGCTTTACTACCATCAGCAGCTGTATAAATAACTTGAACTTGAAATGGTAATTGTTCTAATTGATCCAAATCTATATGATATTTTTCTTTTACTTCTATATTTTACAACACAAAAAATAAATTTATTTTATGATTAATTTATTAAATAAACAAACAAACCTTGTTTATTTCTTATACCAAATTCAAATGTTACTTCAGTTTGTTTTGTAACATTACCAATATTACGTTTTATTATTCCAAGTTTTTCATCTGGATTATCAGGATTACGTATATATAAACCACGATGAACAATTAATGTTGCTTCAACATTTGTTGCAATAACTTGTTGTTCAAGTATTGAAGCAAATTCATCACCTATATTTAACAAATCTACAATTGTTACATTACCACCTGTACCATCCGCCTAATCAATAGAAAACAAAGTAAATAGTTGAAAATAAAACAAATTCATATTAATTCTACCATTTGACCGATTACAGGAAGTAAACACGAAGTACCTAAAAGATAAATAATGTAATTATTTTGTTGTTAAATATTAAATCAATATTTACCTTTAATAGTTATAACAGAAATACTAACACCTTTGTCTCTAGCACGTTCAGTTACTAAGAAATGAAATTATAGATTAATACTATTAATGAATAATAAAAAATTACAATCTGCATAAAATTGATTTCCTTCATGAAGAGCTTGTTTTTTGATAGCTTCATTAATTTTATTATCTTGTGCCATTTCTAAACTGCCTAAACCTATATTAGCTAATCCTATAAAATAAATTGATTTATTTATTTAATAAACAATGAAATCTACATATCAAGTCATTTACCATCAGTACAAATAACTATTTTTGAACCTTGTCGTTTCGATGCAATATTAAGTGCAAAAACAACTGCTGGACCAAGTGCAGTTTGTCCAGTTTCTTCAAGATCATAAACACGTTCAATTAATTTTGTTTTCGTTTGTGAAACAGGTTTTAATTCATTATTAAATTCACGTTCAGCTTCATGTAATAAATCATTAGTACTATTTAATTTATCACCACGTATAACTAATGGTTCCTCTTTTGAACCATCACCTAGAACAAAAAATAAATAATTATTTGTAACAAAAAGAAAATGTATATACCATAATATGTTATTTCATGATTAAATGTAAGTAATACTGCACGTTTTGTTGGTGTATCTTTAACAAGTTTATCTAAATTAGCAGCAACAGCCATTTGTACACCTTGTAAACGTGTAACATAAGTTTGATGATTTTGTTTAATCATTTGTGCACCACCAAATGCTTCAGCAGCACGTTCTTGTTGTTTAAGTGCATTTGGTAAATTAAAATTACCATGAACTAATGTTGTTGATGCCATTGATCCGCTAATGTCAATAAGAAAAAAAACAATCGAATCATCAATACCACTCATATCTGAACCGTGAACAACTGGTGCTGGTGAAAGTAAATATGTTGCATCTTCTTGTTTAGGTAAATCTGCTTGTTCAATATCAACTATATTGTTATATGGACAAAATTCACAACGCCATTTTGATTCTGTATCATTTGAAGTAGTACTTCCTTTTTTATCTACCTGAATTTTACTCAAATGAGATGCTATTGCTGTACATTCTGTACAATAGACAGGATCACCAGCATGCATTTCACCTAAGAAAACAAAATTATATGTAGAAGAAATCGGATGTGTTTCTTTTCTAATTACCTGGTTGAAGTAATTTATTGAATGTAATACTAAGAACATTAGTATCAGGTTTACGTAAACGTTTTCGTTTCTGACTAACTACAGCAGTTTTATCTGGCATAGATACGACTTGATGTTGTGGACGTCTTTCAATATTTCTTCAAAAATTAAATTTTCATTGATTTTATTTCTAAACTCATTTGAATAATTATTTACCTTGATTGAGCCTGTGGTCTAAATAATTGATCAGCATCATTACCAAGTACATCATTGTCATCATCATCAGATACTGATTCTGATTCTGATTGAGCATATTTATAAACATATTTTGATCCAAAATCCATATTTACAAATCAATATCTGAAGAGAAAAAAAATCAGTTGGAAAAAAAAGTTTACATATACAATTGCGCGACACTTTCATATTCACAAAGAAGAAAAAAGAAAATGCTAGGAAGTATGAAAAAATAAAATAATGTCAGGCAAATCTTTTTTTTTTCTTCTCAAGGTAGTAGAAGAAACGTAATTTACTCAGTATGTTATTTCTTATCAGCAAAAAGTCGTCTAGGTTCTCTTTCATTCGTCTTAACAACCAGACGTTCGTTGTCTAAGAGAAATAAAATCAATATTAGTTATTTTTAAATAGTAATGTACTGAATAAATCTTTGATCATAAAAATTCAATGAAAAAAAAAATATCCATCAGTTTTAAATTCATGAGAACATTATCTCAATTCGTTCGTATTTTTTCTTTTAACTGTATGAAAAACGACAAATGACAAGGAAGAGAAAACAATCAACCGAACAAGAAAAATGACTTGAAAATGCTACAAGGCTGAAATATAAACATATAGTTGAAAAAAAAAATAATGCTGAAATACACACAGAAACAAAAAGGACATCAATTCTAATGAAAAACTAAATGAGAATGTTTGCTTTTTTCTAAAATAGATTATTCATTTGTTGCTGTTGTTGATTCTGAAGATAAATATTGATTTGAAAATTCACTCAATTCATTCTCAATTTGATCTCCTTGTTTTTTTAATTTTTTTCCTTTATCGATATATTTTAATAATTGATCAATTTCAATTTTTATTTGTTTCATACTATCAGTTAAATCATCTTTTTCCATATCAACATAACGTATTGTTTGAGCAAAATACATTGATAATTCTTGTTGAACTTGTGCACTTGCATTACCGGATGTCATATCAACGATTAATTTCATTTTTGATGATGCATAATCAGCATATTGACGTTTAAATGCACGTTCTTGTGCTTTTTTTGTCCACATTACTCTTTCATATAAATATAAAGTACCATAAATACCTGCAACAACACCTAATACTTTCCAACCAACACTACGCCATACTAATGCACATCCACCTAATGCGATCATACCAGATTTTGTTGTTAATGCCGATATATTATTTGCTGTTGTTAATAAATCATTTGTTGAACTAATTAATGATGATGCCGATGGTGTTGATATTTCATGATTAAGTTTTGAACTGGTTATAGATTCTTTCTGATTTTGAACAAAACGTTGCCATAAACTAGTAAAACCTAATGAGAATTTAAATTGTATATCTTCACGAAAATCTGAACATAAATTTGAACAATCCAAACGATATGAAACAGCAAAATCCGAACGTGGTACTATGGAATCAACATTATTTATACGTTCTTTATTTTCAAGAACTGATTTAACACGTTCTTTTATTTCACGATGAACACTATCCAATGATGAATGTAATGCTGCATGAAGACGAGTTTGTAAATTAGTACCAAGTCGTTCTTCAACCCATCGATGTAAATCTCGTTTATAAAGTGGAATTTGTTCAGAATCAGATGAAAAAGGACGATCAAATTCTTCGATTAATGTATAAAGACTAGAAAATAAAAATAAAATGATTTTTTTTTAAACAGAGAATTTCTAATCTAATGAAATAACATATATATATATCAAGAAGAATTATTCCTATGTGAGTAGTATTAGTTATCAAGAAAAAAAATCTAACATTTTCATCAGAGGTTATTATTACTAACATGTTTTTTTTATGCATTCTTGAAAAGGTCATGACATAACAAATAATTCGATATCAATAATCATGATGTATAAACTCTATCTAGAGTTTATACATTTCATTAGATCCAATATAATCCACAAATATGTTGACTGAATACTAAATTAACATGTAAAAACATTTTTCTATCAATTTATTCTCTTCTTATACGACATATTCGTTAATATAAAAATAACATACAATTATCTTTCTGATATCAACTGTTATTAATTCTTATCTATTCGATAATAAATCTAAGAAAATGCTATGACATTTACCACGAAGATAATTCTATTTTGCATTCTTTCTCTTATAAACTTACCGTCTAATTTCATCATTTAATGTTTGTGCAACTCTTTTATAAACATCTTCTGATATATGTCGAATTTTATCTTTAGCTGATTCTGTCATTGAACGTAATTCACGTTCAAGTAAATTATGTTTTTCATCCATTTGTGTTAATTTTTGAACTGATTCTTGTTTTAATGTTTGAGATCTATTTGCTATATTAGCTGTTGTTTCACGTAATGTTGTTGTTATACCTTTGCCTCGATTAGTATGTTGTTCAAATTTAGTTTGAACAGCTGTTTTTGAGATACATTTTTCAAATTCATGTTCAAAATTATTAAATTCAATAAGACGTTCTTCATGTCCTAAATAAAAACCGAATTCATGATTGATTTTTTTTCTTACAAATTTAATTTCTTTACCTTCAGCAAAACCAGTTCTAGGTGAACTAGTTGGGTCTTTATTTCGTTTTAATAAAGCTTCGCGTGCTGAAATAAAAAACATTCGATGTTCGGATGCTTCTTTTCGATCACATAGATGTAATTCATCGCATAAAAATTCTAAACCACGATCAAGATGTTGTTGTCTTACCTAAATCAAAAAAGTATATATATATATGTATATTTAAATCGATTAATTTCTTTACCGATTCGACCATTTCTGGTTCATTTGCAGTGGCATCCCAACGATTCATTAAGATAAAAATATTTGGATTTGATAAACGTTGCGCTACGTTATGTAAAAATTTTTTTTCCTAAAATTTTATTCATTTATTTTGTTCATATTATTTTATTTTATTAGAACTTACAGAAACTGTTATTGTTGCTTCAGCTGATATAACAAGTACAAATACATCAGCATCTAAGCAATGATTTTCAATCCATTGATCAAGATTTGCTGATACATCAATACCCGGACTAAAAAAGATAAAACAGAATTATTTTTTTTTTTGGAATTAGAAATAAGCAGTTTAATTTTACCTATCAACAAGAATAACATCATCTCGAATGAGACGACATTTTTCTTTTGGCCATAAAATTTTTACGAGAGAATCTGAATCAAGCTTTTCTCTTGAAAGAGCATTACCTACAGTACCCAAGCTCTAAAAATAAAAAAGTTGAATAAATTATTTCATAATAACATCAAACAGGGTTTTTTAAAATAACGTTTAAAAGAAAAAAATAAAGATATACTCAGTTAGATGATAACAGAACTTCTCGATATTGGAATCCGATAGATATTAATGATGAGATTAGTATCGAATTTCTGAGTCAAAATATTTGTCTTAGCAAGAATTTATCATTTGACGATGATAAATGTTATAAGCATAGTAATAGCTATTGATTAAATCTTTTTAATTATTGTTAGGATTATCTCAGAATTCATTTTTGTTTAAAGTTTATTTCATATCTCATCAATTAAATTTTGTTTACTTACGCTAATACTTTTCGGTTCATCTGATCCGGGTGTAAGAACATACGGTTCAGCTTTATCAGTTCCTTCAATCTAAATCATCAAAAATCAAGAGTCAATCAAAATATATTTTAAATCAATCATACTTGAAGAAAACAATTTGTTGTATGTCCCATACCGACTGGTAGTATTCTCTCACGTAACATAGCGTTCATAGTTGTACTCTTTCCGTTACTTGTCCTAAGAAATAACAGATCGTAGGAAAATTAAAAACAAAGAATTGAATAATAATAATAATCTATTAACCTTCCAAAGAAGACAACTTTCATATGATCGCGTGATATGATTGTTAAAATTCGATTAACTTTTTCTTTCAATTCTTGAATTTCTACATATTTTTCAGGAGTTATTAGATTCTTGTCAGATTTCTTCACATCTATAAAGAAAATTAAATTAGACAGATATGTTTTAAAAATGAATTTAGTAAAACAAACCATCTAAAAATTTATTTGAGTCATTGACATACAATGCGATGTTTTTAAATATCTCCGTTATAGTTGTTTTAGCATGAGTAAATAATTTCAATGGTGAATTATTGTCTAAATTTAAGAAATTATAATTAATTAAAATATTTTTTTATACGAATTTCACTTACTAGTCACACTATTCTGACGTTCAGCTCCAAGTAATGTCGGCTTGTCACGAATGATACTGCCTGACATAATTATTTGTCTAGAAAGCAATAAACATAAATTGATAATATATATTATTCCTTTCTACTTTTCCAAATTATGGATAAATAAAGGAAAAGTATCGATTGTCGATAAAAATGGTGAATCAAACATTTAGGAAAAAAGAGATATAAAAACATGGCGGGAAAGAAAAAGTAATAGATGGAAGTTACTTTTTTAAAATTAATACTAATCTTATTAAATAAATAATAAAGTATAAAAATCATTTTGAGAAGTTTAATGCAAAACTGTTATATAATATGAGTATTATAGAATGATGAAGGACAATCGTTGGAAAGCTCTAGATGATTGAATCATCCTTTTCAAACATAAACAATATAGATTCGTGATTTTTATTACAGCGTACGTACTCATTCATTCAACACCTACACCAATAAAAATCTACAATTACCTCTATATCATTACGCATTAGAAAAGTCTAACAAAATGTACTGCAAGGCGTATGTATTATGCATCAGCAACGATTTCCTATTTGATTTTCATTATCCAATCATAAGAATAGTACTAGATGGCGTTCGTCTCTCAATATTATATTTCCATGACAACGAATGATACGATTAGAAGTTATCATAATCACTTGCAATGGCAACTCTTGGTATAGGACAAGGAGAAAATCAAAGAAGACGTTTACCAAAGTTAATTCCACCTAATCCAGGTGGTGGAAGTAGTGATGATACACCTCGTACAACGACTGGTGATGAAAGTGCTCGACAACGACGACGAGATCGACAACAATCAGCTCGTCAACAAACACCAGATGGTCGAGAAACAATTTCATCACCATCAATCAAAGAAGTAATTAAAAATTTTATCTTATCTATTTAAATTATTCTTTCGTAAATAATATTTTAGCTTCCGTTACCACCTCGATCTAATCAAAGTGAGGAACGTGACCCAACAAAACGGCGTAAAGCTCGACGACGTGTTAAATCATCGTAATATTTGTTTCTCTTGATTTTTTAATATACATATTTTATTTTCTAATTATAGATCACAATTAGAACAAGAACCTTCATTATTAAGAGGTTTAGAAGATGAAGTTATTGTAGAAAAATCCAAAAGATCCAATGAATTTGTTTTACCTGATCTTTTATTATCAAGTACATATGCTGGTAATACAGCATCAAAAAGTGCTCCAACACCTCGTATTTATGTTGAAAATAAAAGTAATTGTTTTTTGTTTTTGTTTTATTTTGATTGAATAAGTATTATTTTTATTTAAAGAAACATTTTCAAGTGTTAATAAAGATGCTGCAACAGTACGTATAGGTAATAGAAGTGGACAATCACCATATACATTAGGACATGATGATAGTTATACATTTCAACAACAAACAGCTGAAGTTTTAAAACGTTATACCGTACACGTTGCTAAACAAACTCATGCAGCTTTTCAAAAATTCTTTCTTTTCATACATGGTATTAATTCTGGTTATGCATTATGGGTATGCGTATTCTCTTTTGTATTTATCAGTGGAGAAGGTTCAGAATTTTTTACTATTTATCGAACAATTGCATTGATAACACATCTTTTATTTTATCTTTTTCTTGCTATATGTATGGTCGATGTTCTAGATAGGTAATTCCATTTCTTATATATTATTAAATAAAATCTATATTTTATTAATAGAATCGATCCAGTTAAATTTAATAGAACAGTACTTTTACAATCAATTACTGCACAAAATGCTGCACCAGCTTTAATCTTTTATATGGTTGCTATGGTTACTAATTTAGTTATGATGAAAACAGAAGATCAATTACGTATGACTCTATATAATTCAGATGTAAATGGAACAATTTCATCTATTGTAAGTTTACTTTCTTTTTTTCTATGATTTCATTTTTTTCTGAAATTTTCCCTCTTTTTCTTTAAGAATGATATAGCGACTAATCAAGGAGATTTATGGAAAAATTTAACAGCAGTTCGAGCAGCATTTAGTGTAGTTGGCTGGTTTATTGTAAGTATACATGCTAAAAATGATCGATTAAGTACAATGATTAAGAATACAGAAGAAAAAGCATTTTATGAAGAATTAAAAATCGAACAAAATACTGTGCCACTTGTTGCTGGAATGAATTCTGCTTAATCATGTGTTTTTTGGTGCCTTTAGATTAAAATAAAATACAAGAGAGAAAAAAAAGTGATTTGTGTATGCTCTTTTGTTTATTAGAAGAATCTGCTATTTGCGCGTGTGTGTGTGTGTGTATGTTTTGTATGTTTATCTTTTTTCTCGTTTAAAATAAAAGAATTTTGTAATTACATGGAAAGATCTCGTTTACCACGATAATGAAACATTGATTGAGGTTTACTTTGATGAATATGATAATCATAACCATTGGTATGATATGGACCTTGAAGAGCTAACATACGATGTGGATTTGAATAACTATTTCCTCCAAGTATATTATGAAATGCACGTTTACCAATTCGTGGGAAAAGAACACTACGTTTACCAATTCGTG